TAGCACGGGATAGGCATATTAGGATCCTCTCATCACTGAAGCATTCAAAGTTCATGAAGACATGCAGGAAGCGTTCGATATGGGCCGGTTTCAGCTGCGTGAACGTGGCGTCGATCTCACGTCTCAGGCGGTTCATGAAGGTAACAGGGGGTCTACTGACTCCTGCCTTGAGCAAGGTGACGCAATAGTAAAGCAGATTGCCGGTCTGTATCTCCTTCGATCGAAGGAAGGCTTCCGTCATCCGATCGATTCCGATAGTAGTAGTAGAGCGAGATATAAGGGAGATGTCCCGGGCGGACATACGACCGAGTCTAGTCTCGATATGGGCCTCCAGGTCCGAGAGGAAGCCCTTGTCACGTAGTTTATCAGCAATATGTGGTGGTAGAGCAGAATAGTAACTGATGAGGGAGGGGACAGTGATGGAGACAGCAACAAGGCGTACAGGAATATCCTTGCAATATCGGTACTGCGCCATTTGTATCTATCCCACCCTTGACGTCTCAAGTCAGCTGTGATAGCATCTAGGGCGGGCATTCTCGGGATGAAATTAAGCTTTCGGAAGGAATCAAGTATGGCCGCAGAATCGAATAATTTCCCTCGTCTGATCTGATGAGGACATGGAGTGGGAGCCATCTGGTGAGGGGTTGAGTTTACTTTGGCCAAACACCACATAGCATCAGCTAAGCCATTGATGAGGAAGGTGTCTCGATATCCCATCACAGCCATTGATCTAGCTACAGCCGAGATATCAGTAGTGTTCAACTGCTTCAATTGACGCATAGTTTGATAGCTGATAGAATGCCAAACCGACGGGTCCCTAATCTGTAAGAGCGAAAGAAAAGCCATTCGATGACCACCTTAAGAGAATTCACACTCGGTAACGACTTCTGATACCGTACGCGGACCAACACTCATTAGATTGAATGAGGCTACCATTCCTCACCTGGGCTCTCGAAATGTACGTGAATTGCAGGGAGATGTCCCGGCTTTCCGCAAACTCACTGATACCGTTCAGTTGGCTCGGTGGAGTGTACAACGCCACGGCGGTAGTCCTCCCACCACCCCGCCTGGTAGACTCGTTGAAGAGTGGATCTCATTGAGGTTCCTGCTAGCAGCCTACCTCCTTCGATGCTTAATCTTGTCGAATACCGAAGCGCTCTCGATGTCACTACTGCCTACACCTCCTAGCGATGGAAACCTCGACGCATGCCCCTCTGTAATGTCTGCTGATGGTAGAGCCGCTAGAGCCTGTTGACAAACATGAGCACTTGGATAGTCTAATATCCCTCACTTCTGCTGCCGACGAAAATCGTACATGGCTGACGCTCTTCGTTATGGTACGGGGATGGAGGGCATCGAGGGAGACTGGCATGCAGGGGCAAATACTACTTCGATGAAACCCGACTATATCCCAATAATGGGGCCTACTCGAA